ATCTGATTTTGTTCGCCTGACGGAGGAAGTAGGTCAGAACTGTGTGGTTGACCTGACTGTTGTCTACTCTTCTGTGCGTCCGGTATCTCGCCCAGATACAGTCTGACAAGGCGATCGTTTCCTCGGCTTGCGGCATCGCAGGACGCTTTCCTGTTATAAGACTAATATTCTTCTTGAGAAGTGTCGAGTCCATTATCGGCAAGCAAAGTGCACAATGGACGTACGGCCGGCGGAGGCGGCCGTGCCGAATAGTGTCGATTCCATATAGCCATGTCTATTTGGGCTGGCCCCCTTTTTGAAGAAGAGCGTCGGCGAAAGCTCTGTAGCCCTCTGCGCATGCTACACACAGAACTTCGTTCAAGGTCGCCGTCTGCGCAGAATGGAAGCTTCGTGAGAGCCTGGTGGGCCAACGACTTATGTAGTTACCTCTGGGGTCTATGAGAAGTGCCGCTGTCAGATTTAGAACGTTAAAGCTTCTATCTTTGCACAGCTGGACCATTTCCTGCAGGACAACGACCGACAGCAGACCGAAAACGCGCCGACCTGAACCATGTGGACAGCCACGGACAAATGTCGCATTGAGCGACCATCAGGTCGTTTAGTTCGACACACAGCACCTGGCACAGGCTCCAGAGGGTGCGACGGTCGACCTCCGACGCGATGTTGTACAAGACTTCGAGGTCCTTCAGGAAGCGAACTGTCTGCTGCAAGAGGTGTGCTTGGAAAGTCTAGAGAAAGCGGCCGCGGCAGCAAAATATCCAAGATGTCAAGGCTACAAGCGACAGTACAGCGCTGGCAGGCTACATCAATGCAGATGACCTAGGTAGGATCGACCAAGATATTCGCCATTACACGGCAGATACGAGGAGCGTGACGGTTGCAGGTGTTGTAACGGGTGTGGATTTCAACAGCCTGTTTTCCAAGAGGTAGATCGGCAAGGTTGCGGTCGACACATGTGAGGAGATCGTCAAATGACTTCATGCGGCAGCCGTTGTCACCCGTTGGCTCACACAGCAAGGGTGTTCGAGTCAGACGAGGCCGGATGCTGTGGATAGGGTGGTCTCTGTCCAGCCAGGTGCATATACCAGGAATGATAGCGGGCAGAACATGCTGGATAGCTCCTGCTGATACTGATGCTGCTGTTGACAGCTTCAGCCCTCCTCAATCGGTTGCAGTTGCAGTCAGGACCTATAGTACATTGGTGGGCTAATGAGGAAGGAGGCCACGCTGATGCCCCACAACGAATGACTGCAAGCTCTTTGTCACCCCAGCCAGTTTGGACGCTAAAACGCGGGAGGAGCGCGAAAAAACACGGCCGACGCGCGGGACGGGGAAAGGACGCAGGGACCCTCCTTCCGCCCTGGATTGAGTGGATTCAGGGCCGTGTTGGTTGGTTTTGGGCAGTCGTACCCGGCATCCTGGCCCAGCCCACGCTGCTGTGACGACGCCCTCGGACCCCACCACCTGCTGACCATCTTCCCTGCCTCTCGTCTGCCCCCAGCACCTGTGGAATCTTGCCCTCTTCTCATTCCGTCTCTCTACCAACCGAGCTTCCCCTCCATTTGCGTCATTGCGACAGAGCGTTTTGGGTCCCCCTTGCAACCGACTGTCTGGTTTCGTCGTTGCTTGCGTCTTCCTTTTTTGTAAAAACCGAACTGACCATCTCCACTCCAACCTGTCGCTACACGATAACGCCGCTGCCAACCATCAAGGCCACCACCATCTTACGTTAATAAAGTTTCCCTTACGAGCACCAATACTACAAAAGCCGACGACACTCCGAGCCCTGCCTCATCCAAGTCAACCTCTCCGTTTTACAAACCTCGCCTCGTCGACACCTCCATCATGTCTACCCCCCGAACCAAGCGCCAATTTGCTGGCGCAGCCTCTGATCCCGCCCAGCGCCAGATCACCTCATTCTTCACCCCTTCTACTTCGCCGCCTCCGAGTTCCCAGCCGGCAGCCGTCACGCTCCCTGCGAGCGTCCAGACCAATCTCCTCAGCGTCGGCATGCGCGTCCGCAAGAGTGTGCCCGAGGGCTACAAGACCGGTTCATACAGCGCCTTCAAGCTCTGGTCCGACACGTCCGTCGCCCCTACGACCAAGGCCAAGCCCACCTTCAAGGCTCCCGCGCAGCGCGAACTACTTCCCTTTTGCGGCATTCACAACATCGGTGGCTTCGCGAGCCAGCCTGTCGACTGTATTGACGACGACGGCGAGGACGACAGCGACGTGCCCGACATTGACGATGTGCCGGGTTTGACCAGCTCGCAGGAAAGCGTCGAGAGCGTCGTCTCCGCTTCATCACGGAAGCGCATCTATAATGATGACGAAGAAGAGCTTGCGACAGACAGTCTGCAAGTACCGTATTCGGGCAAGAGCGCTTGGGCTGACGGCGAAGTGAGCCCGCGGAGCCTGTCCCCTGCAGGATGGGCCAATGCCCGGCCGATGGCCATGCCGAGGCGTCTGGGGCAGCGCAAAGCAGCGACAACGACAATGACTACAAGCTCAGGGCAGGAGAACTTTAGGGACTTTGAAGAGGCTGACTTCCTAGTCGAGGAGGGTATGGACATGACAGATGCTTGACTCGGCGCGAGCGAGGTCACACGATGAGGAGGCTTAAACACCAGCATATGGCGTTGGGAGGAGTTGTACTCTGCAAGAGCTGCTTTGAGGACATTTGTACCACTGCCTGTTTGATTACCTGCGTTGGGTTGACGCTTTTGCTACACTAGAGTACGATATTGAATTTACAGCTTTCCAGGATTCGCTCGCCAGTCTGGTCCCCTGAACCTCCCAGTGCAAGTTACCTACATACCTGTAAAAGGCTCTCGAAACTCGAGCAGATCCCTTTGCCCGTAAAAGTCGCCGGCGACGGTCAGAATCATATTCAGGGTCGCGCGCATGTTGGTTCTTGCGCGCCACCGGTCTTCGGCTGCCTGCTTTTCTATCGCCTCCTCTTCGGCGCCTTGCACCTCGACTGTGTCCAGCTCGGCGAGAATTCTACTTCGCATCGCTTCCAGACTCTCTAGGTTCCCAGCCTCCGACTGCTGGGCCTGGGAATCTCGTGGGACCTGTCCTTCTGAGGCCTCGCCGTCTTCGGAGCAGTCCATGGGCTCTGACTGCACGTCATCGTCTTTGGTCTCCTTGCGCCGAGGTTCGACTCTGGGCTCCACTGCCGGCTCCAAGGGTTCACTCTCGGGGACCTTGTTGTTGTCGCTGAAGTCTGTCTCACCTTGTTTGGTTTGCTCCACGTCCCGGCCTTCTCTGAGATGTATCGCTTGAACTTCTCGATCTGCGGTGGCGTCTTCAGCATCGCCAGCATCGACAACTTCGCCGTCATTTTCGTCAACTTCCATATCCTCGAGCACGGCCTCGTCATCCGAGCTGTCATCAATGGCATCGTGCACCCCGAGGTCCCCCTCGAGCGCCTCCCTCAGGTTCGCCATGTCCGCCAGGCTCTGGTTCATCAGCACAGCGCGCCGGCCCAGGTCCCGTATCCAGCTCATCTCGACGTGGTTCAGCTCGCCGCGGTCCGGCAGCCGCGCGAGCAGCGCCCACACCCAGCGGCTCGTGCGCTCGGCGATCTCGCCCCCGCGCCGCAAGAAGCTGCCCGACAGCAGCACGCGCAGGACCCGGAGGACGCTGTCCTTATCCATGCTCGCGACCTGCACGGGGGACGGGTCGGCCGTGCGCAGGCGGTGGTCCCAGATCTTGAATGTGGCGGAGCGGGGGCCAAAGTGGCCGACAAAGGGGCTGTGCGTGCGAGACAGGTTCTGGACGGCCTCGTCGGGCGGCTTGCTGTGGAGGAGGGTGCGAAGGGCAGAGTAGTGGGAGAGGAGCGAGGCGAAGTAGGCTTCGTGGAGGGCGGCGTCGGAGGCGTCGTCGTCGTCTTGTTCCGCGGCGTCGCCGTCCCACGCTGCGCCGTCCTCGTCGTCGGGGTCGTCGCCGTACGCTGCGTCGTCGTCCCACGACTCTGGCGCGCCGATGTATGCGCCGTCGACGTAGCGGCCTCGGAAGTCGCCAGTGCCCTCGTCGTACAGGCCACGGTCAATGTGCCCGTCTTCCTCGCCCTCCTTGAGCTCGTCGTCGCGTATCGAAGGCTGGAAGCCCGTCGGCAGCTGTGGGCCGATGGGTATCTTCGGTGCAACAAGCAGGTGCGGGATGCCGTTGGCTTCTTGCCTGTACACTCACCACGTCAGCAACGCGGTACTCGCACAACTAAGGGGTAGGAGAACTAGTTCAGCGCAAGGTCGACGTGCGTTTGTGTCCCGAGAGTGTTGAAGCTTACCTCACAGATTTCAGATAGGCCATGGCATCTCCGTCATCTTCGAAATCGAGCTCTGGATCGACGGGAACCGTGGTGGCGCCGTCATGGTTGCCGAAGACGTATTTCTGACCCCACGTCGGATCAATGTGGGAGTTCTGGTGTTGTCGCGCCTTGTTCGACTGGTTCTTGGATCGCTTCGCAGCTGGCTCGACGGAATTATCGCTAGCCGAGTCAGCGTAGTCTCGTTTTGAAGCCATGGCGGACCTTGGGCAAGTGTTTCGAGGTCTGGGGCAAATCGACAAAGAAGAGTGGAAGCCTAGAGCGTGATCAAGCTAACACAGGAGCATCTGCTCTGGCGTTGGAAATATTTTAGTGGAGACTGCTAGGGAGCGCGGGCGAGATCTATGTACCTCTGTGTCTGTGCATCTGTAGCGCAGTGCAGACGGCTTCCACCCTCAGCATGCAACTAACATACATGCAAAGCACACAAATAGGCAGTTGATCCATCTTGACACCAACCTCCAACAGCCAGGTGAATTGCATCACTGGTATAAAGTCTGCATAGAAGCCCATCTTCTCGGGGTGCTGGCGTGGCAAGTGGCTCTTACCTGGAAAGGCCCCTCTCAAATATTATATGCCCAACCCCATAACTACAGCCATAAATAAAGTGTCGCATCGTAAATCAAGTGTCGCATCGGTCACTTGTTGTTAAATGTAGCTACAAAGATGACTTTAAAAAACTGGGGAAATCTCAAACTCGTGATTGCCGTGACACTCTTGTCAGACTTCGCAGACCAGAGCCTGCACAACCTGCTTCGCAGCTACGAAATGCCCGAGCCAGCAATTTTGAATGACGGTACCGCAGCATAGATGACTCGATGCTGGAAAGTCTCGGTTTTGGAAGCGACGCTCGACCTCCTCGTCATCTAGGTTGCTGTAGGGCTCCTCACCAGTCATAATGAAATACATGACCGAGCCAAGTGCAAAAATATCATCTGCTCGAGTAGCCACATAATCTCGGCTCCACGGTCGGGGTTCGTACCTTGGTCCAGGAGCACAACCGGAAGACGAGCCGTTCGGAAGCGAGCTTCCAGCGAAATCACAGATCCACAAGTTCAGATCCTCATCGAGCAGGAAGTTGCGGGGTGCGATATCATTGTGCGTCACCCCAATGGCGTGGACGACGGCAAGAGATTCAGCTGCGTGTAACACCCACCTTAGTCGTACATCGAGACTGACCCTGCATTTGTAGTCTGGCTTCCGGATATACATCTCCAGGTCTCCATTGGGGTAATTCCTCAATGTCAGGGTACAAGAAGCAGGGTCCCAAGCAATTAGCTCCGGGATAAAAGAACTAGCCCCCACCATGTGATAAATCAAGGCCTCGCGCTCCATACACTGCCGATTTTCCTTCTCCTTCTCAGGACAATAGGGATTCAATTTAGGAGTTTTGGAGACGTGACCTGATGGCAATAATTCGACAAAGGCTGTCCTTCCCATGCGGACACAGTCGCCCTTTGTAACGTAGTATATGTCTCCTTCCTCTGGCTGTTGAGGCATTCTGAAAACGTGGTCGGGCCAATGGGGGTGTAACTTCCGTTCCCATGAGCCTGGAATGGGTCTGTATCGGATACAAGGAGGAGGATTTGGGCGAAAGGCCTAGAACATTCCCGTGAGCTGGCATGAAGCAGGCCATCTGGGGGTGCAAGAGCGTCACTTCTGGTGTATCATGCTGCTCTACAACGGCAGGGTCGCGTCGAAGGAGGCGGAGGACAAGTCGATGAGCTGACAGAATATTGGTGAATAGGCGCCAAAGTAAGATCCGTGCTCGTCGAGTGAATCCCTTTGCAGTGGTGAACATGCTGGGACGATATGTGCCGTAGCGTTTGCTCAAGTTGTAAAGCGCGTCGATTGGCGAAGTGGTGGGAAAGGTTGGTAGGGTGGGCTATAGGGAAATGCTGGATGCGTCAAAGCCGTTTCCCCTCGAGGATCTTCGAACGCAGTCAACCTTCTGGTAATGAATGAATACTAGGGAGAACGAAAAGATCTAACGGCCGTAGACACATCTGTAACACTTTGGTTGGTGCAGATTAGTGCCATACAAGGAGACACAGATGAAGCAAGATTTATCAGCAGAAGCTGAAAGACCATCGCTTCATACAGCCAATCAATACTGATACGAGACGTATTGACCTAGGTACTTAGATAGAGTGTTGCGGGGTGGACCCGCAACTTATAGGTGCTTCAGAATTAAGTTATATAGGGGTCGATATTTAGCCTGTTATTATCTCGTAGTCCACGTGACCCGGATCAGACATCCAACCTCCATCAATCGCATCGCCAAACTTTCCGCCGCTGACAGTCGCATCCCGACGAGCAGCAGCACAGCCCGCCACCAATCGCCCACCATGTCGATGTTTCGCCCCAAGAAGCTCGACCTGAGCTGCTTCACCAATGTGCGCGTCCTGCGCGACCATGCCAAGCGCCAGGTCTTCCAGGAGCACGAGACCCAGAGGTAGGCAGCTCGCACGACCATGCGCGCCGAGGGACGGACTTGAGCTAATCACTTTTCACCGACGCACAGGCAAGCCCTCCGATACCTCATCCGCAACACGACCCTGCCGCCTCGCGTGCGCGCCGAAGCCCAGCTGCAGCTGACGCAGATGCACGCCTACACCCGCTCCACGCAGATCAGGAACCGGTGCATCATGGGTGGAAAGAGCCGCGGTGTTTTCAGGGACTTCAAGATGTCCAGGGTGCGTCAAACCCTTGTCGCCAGAATTACCGGATTTGACGTCGAAGGTGCTAACTCGCTTGACCAGTTTGCGTTCAGGATGGAGGCGTACCAGGGCAACCTGCCGGGCGTGAAGAAGGCGAGCTGGTAGAGCCGCGGAGGGAGCTTGGGACGATGGCAGTGTACAACTAGTTGGCCGAATAGCGTTTGCCGTCGTGCCGTGACGATATCTGGACGGCGTGATATTCATGGGCGGCTGCTGGCCTGGATGGTGGATCCCAAGGCCGCGCCGACGCTTACCATGTACAACATTTTGACAACCGACGAAAATTGACGACTTGATTTGGTTCAGGTGCTGGTTGTCTCTCCAATCGAACTTTGGCGGTGGAGTGTTTGATTATGGGGACTTAGCGATTGTTTGGGGGCCATGCCTTCAAACCTCGATCGTGCAAGTAGACTCCTGCCTACCTACCTACCTACCTGACCTTAAGGTACCTAGAGGCAAGCACGTAGACTTGGAGGGCAGGAGACTGCAGCGGTCTTCTCGTAACTTCTCCTCCACGCCAACACATCACGGCAGGGGCTGCAGTGTATGCTGTCAGCAACCGAAGAACGCAAACGATACATCAATCTGCTCATCCAGTCACCTCTCAGTCACGGTGATATCCGGTCGCCCAGAGTCTCTATCAACCCATTCCTACTATCAACTTACTTCCATCTCGGTCTCCCCTAGTCTCAGACATCGACCTGCACAATGTTTCGCCGCAAGTGGTCTGGTCTGCCTAGAGACTACCTCTTTCCTTCCAACCTCGAGGACCTTGGGTTAGTCAAACGCACACTTGTGCAACTCCATCTAACCGCCTCAGATACTTCATCAACGAAGATGATGAGATCCGCAGCGTCGCTGACCCCGACCGCTACTTCAAGTACTGGATCGACAAGAACATGCGTGTCAACGGTCGTCAACGTTTCCACTTCAACGGTCCGTCTGCAGCACGCAGTCATTCGGCTTATCCGCTGATCGATCACTAGATGCCGTTCAAGACATTGTCCATGCCCGCCTTGAAGCCGAAGGTCTAGAGAAGCATAGCCTTCCCTTTGGCTCCAAGTCCGGAGATGCCCAAGTGACCATCTTCGCAAGCGCAGATTTGCACCGGAAGTCACGAGTCACAGTCATATTCGGCGAACCCAACCAAAGTCTCGGCATCCTCGCCTTGCGCGTTGCCAACGGGCCCGGCGGCATCAACATGGGCACGATGGTCTCGGTTGTACAGACCCTCAAGCAGCAAATCTCGTCGCCCGACGACTCGGAAGCTCCAGGCATCATCCTCTGCAATGTGGGCGCCGTCTTCTGGTGGCCTGAGGAAGAGCGCACCCTGACCCTAAGCCACATGTCTGATATGCCGCTCGCCAGCCTCGCACATCACGGCCGCCGCATCACCACAGCAAACCAGGTTCCCGGGCTCGAGACGTCAGAGAAGCACATTCGCTACATCTTTGAGGCTGTACTGCCTGCCCTGACGAGCGAAGACGCGCGACTTGACCTCATCGGCATCGGCCTTGGTGCAGATATGCTGGAGGCATACCTAGACCAAGAATGTGTCTGGACCCGGTGGGGAAGTCGCATAAACACGATGTCCATTCTCGGTGGCATCACTGACAGTGCAAGCCTTAAGCACCAGGCCTTTAAGGATTTTCTTGCCAAGGTAGGTAGATAATCGCACTGCCGTTCATCATTTCTGCTGCTGACTTGCCCTGCAGCACGCCCGGGCATACATTACATCGGAAGAGCCGGCTGGCATGCCGCTCGCGGGACCTCATGGCAATAGCAAGACTTCTACTTTTCTGAACCACGGTACTGCGGCTGTTTATAGCTCGGGCGAGCCCTACTATGTCGAGATGATACTCGTGCGGGCGCGCGAGTCGATTCTCGGCTGGCTTGGCGAGGTTGCCGCTACGGGGTTTGACGCATACCATCACCCTGAGATCACGGTTGTCGACGTTGCGCCTCAAATGGAGGCGAATGCCGAGTCTGTTTGGGCTAATGTTGATACAGAGTGGGGTGACGTCCCCGTTGAGGTGAAGCCGTCTATCAGCTTCGGAGGCGATGGAAGTGGTGTGCCAGCCGCAGCTGAGCCAGTGATCGGCCGTGAGTCTGACTAAATGAAGCTTGGCATGATGGGATGTTTCAATGTGCGGAACATGACGCAGGGCGCAGCGAGACGTTCCTGAAGCTGAAGAGCATTTCGCCAGGGCTGCGAGATCAAGTCGGTGGACAGCACACGGATCGGTGGCGAGGTCGTACGTCAAGGCTTTATCTAGGCAGACCTGTAAATTATTAGGTGATTCTGGAGACCATTTCGATGAGTGACAGGACGTAGGATATCGAGACCTCGACTCTACCCCTATTCGTGTGGGGTGATGCTGGAGCAAAGGGGCTCGGTGAGCACATCGGTGAAGTCGGTGAGGGAATTCCAGCATCTCCACAGCATCAACTGAGCATCATTGGGGACTCATCGGACGTTCTGTGAGACAACTACACGAACTTTCACAATCCATCATTCCGACAGATCATCGTCGCCCAAATCTGAAGCCAGCCTCTTGAGCCCTCTCATTCGATCAACAAGCATCGCCAACAAGGCAGAAAAACGAAACTGCCACGCCTCCCAGTACTGCCAAATACACAATGGCCACCCCCGACCAAGGCCCCTGGCACCTCTCGTCCCCGCAAACGCACGTCTCCCTCACCCACGCCCCCCTCTCCGCAACAGCGGTCCTCGACCAGATCCGGTCGCCGCGCGCCGGCGCCCTCGTCCTCTTCGCCGGCACGACGCGCGACTCGTTCGCCGGCAAGCCCGTGCGCGAGCTGCACTACAGCGCCTACGCGCCGCGCGCGCTGCGCACCATGGCCGCCGTCGCCGAGGAGGTGCGCGCGCGCCACGGCCTCGAGGGCGTCGCCGTCGTGCACCGCCTCGGCACCGTGCCCGTCGGCGAGGAGAGCGTGCTCGTTGGCGTGGCGGCGGCGCATCGGGGGCCTGCCTGGCGGGCGGGCGAGGAGGCGCTCGAGCTCGTCAAGGAGAGGGTCGAGGTGTGGAAGCGGGAGGAGTTCTTTGGGGAGGAGGGCGTTTGGAGGGCGAATCGGGACGGGGCGCAGGGGGTGTACGAGACGGGGACTCAGGAGAAGAGGGAGGAGAGTGTGTCGGGACAGGGTCAGGAGCAGAAGAGTGATGTAGTGGCTGAGACGCCAGGACGAGAGGAGATGGAAACGGCGGGTGATTCGCAGGTTGGAAGATAAACTCAATACTTCTCACGATATCCAAAATGTCCAACATGTCATAGCTGCCCATGGGCCATGTCGATGCATTCAAGGAGCATTATATTCTTCACCATTTGCTGCTATCTACCTATCGACCAGCTTCAGGCTCGCCCGCACATCCTCTGGAAGCTCCTCCGCCTTGACCAAGCCCAGCAGCACGCAATCGCCCCCAGAAGAAGAGGGCCCGCTCTCGTGCATACCCCCAGTAGTCAAACTCGTCCTCGCCGTCGTCCTCCTTCTGCCCGTCCTGTCCCTGCTCTCCGTCTCCGGCGCCGGCCGCCGAAGCCTCGCCTCCTTCGTCGGCGACTTCATCCCCCTCTAGACAGGCGGGCACCTTGGCCTGGACGATACCCCAGGCGACCCACTGCGCGCTGTTGGCCGTCCGCCACAGCCTCGATTCCTCCATGAGCTCCGTCACCGTCTTCTCCGTCTGCTCCTCGCGCAGTCGCTCGTCCTCCTTCCACTGACCCGCCGGCACGCGCGCGTCGAGCATAAAGTCGACAATGGAGCTCGACGAGCTCGTGGGGTGAAGCACGGGCGTGCCGCCGCTGGCATGGCCGGGCGTGTCGAGGGGCGTCAGGCGCGGCGTCGAGCTGGCATGTGGGAACTTGGGCCGGTGCTCGACATAGGACCGGATGAAGCGTCGCTGCTCCTCGACCGTCGGGTACCGCTCGACCGAGCAGCCGTGCGGCTTGGCCTCGTCGTGGTAGTTGTAGGCCCACTCGGTGAAGTGGTTGGCGAACTCCTGGCCGGGGACGTTGGCGCCAGCATACTCAAAGTCAATGACGATGAGCTGCTTATGCTCGTTGGCCGGCTTGAGGAGGGGCGACTTTTTGTCGTCGGGCCGAACACGCAGAATGTTGCCGTATTGAGTCTGTGCCTGTTAGCGATGCTTATTCAAGGGCGTACAACAAGAAGCAAGAAGAGACAGGAAGACATGCATCATTGTGGGCAAACGTCAGACGGGCGTTGATGTCTTCCTCGCTCCGGTAGAAGCTCGTCAGGTAAGCGCGGTACTTCTCAACAGTGGCACGGAACTGAGACCACTCGACGCCGCACACGAAGCCCTGACCTTGGTAGGTGCTTGTTGGCTTGACCGGCTCCCCGGCTTGCCTGGCGCGCGTCTCGTCGTCAACGGCCATGACTCGCTTCTCCACGTTGTCCAGCCACTTGTCCCAATTGCCCCAAACAGAGGGCCCTGCCTTGCGCTCAGCGTCGAGGAGCTCGATGCCGTCGTGCAGTTCGCGCATGCGCTTGGCAATCTGCTTGGACGTCTCCGAGTCTCGCAGGTCCTTGGGCGTCAGGGTCACCGAGTTGAAGTACTCCTCGAAGCGGCCATTGGTAAAAGTGCCGAGGAGGCGAGGCCCGATGCGCTTCCTCGCCAGACGACCGAGAACGCTGAGCTCATTGTCGCGGTCGATGAGATGCTCAACCTGGGGCCCGTAGATGCGCAGGAGAACCTTGCTCGGCTGCTTCTTGCCGGGGACAGGTTCCAGGTCCTCAGGGGGTGTGACGACGTAGACGGCGTTGGTCAGCGCGCCGCTCAGCCTCTGGACGGAGATCTTGTCGCCTGCCTCGAGGGGGATGCGACGCCAGCCCTTGATGCGCAGCGTGTGCGCCAGGCGGATAATCTCGTTTCGGAAGGTGGACCATGCCTCGTGCTCCTTGGCCTCTGCCTTGCCAGAAACGAGATTGTCGGAGCTCTTGCCGGCATTGTAGCTCATGGTCTTGCTGTTGTCGAGAACGGCATCGCAAGATGGCACGACGACGTCGCCGTCGGCATAATCCGTGTCGGAGCTGGCGGTGCGATGCAACATGCTCCGCGAGCCGGACTTTTTGTGTCCCCTCACGGAAGGACGCTGAGGCAGCTTGGGGCCGAGATGGGGAATGGAGTCGAGGCCTAGAGCGGCCATGTTCTCCTCGAGGATGCGCTGCAGTTTGTCGAAGCTCATGTCGCTAGACTGAGAATCAATCGAGTCGGTGCGGTGGCGGAAGGGAAAGCCATCCTGGCCCTTTTCGTCGGTCACGGCAGTCGTCGTGTCGGCGGCTGGCGCTTGAGCCGGGGCCGGGGCCTGGGCCTCTTGCTGCTGCTGAGGGCGCTTTCTCCTCGACGATGAAGCGTGACTTCCTGATTGGCGCTGTTCTCGTTTACGGCGTTCGTGTTCGAGCCAGTCAGACACCTGCGAAAGAAGCTTCTGGCTGACGTAGTGCTGCTTGCGTCGCTCGTGGCCATGGCCGTGGCCATGAATGTGATGCTGCTGCTGCTGCTGCTGCTGCTGCTGCTCAGATGACTCTTCGGGGGTCTCTACGGCTTCTTGGCCGCCCATACTCGACAGAGAGGTGCGCGAGGAGCTCGTGGGCAGGTTGCGGCCACTGAGTCGTTTGGCAATGCCGGCAGAGAACTGCCTTTTCAGCGACGATTCAGCGGGTAGAGTAGACTCAGACTCCTGCTCAGGCTGGGGCACCGCCTCGGGATCAACAATTTGGACCACTACAGTGTGTTAGCTAACGCTCACGATTGAGTAGCAAAAGCGCTGAGATGGTGGCCATTGACTGCGTTGTCGTTGTTGTCGCATTTTGTTGTCGGTCGGTCGCATCATGCGCCGACGTCTTGGCAAGCGGATCCAGGGGCCATGTCAAGGCATTGTCGTCATGTTGCATTTCCACAGCAGAATAAACTCGGCGCATCTTGTTGAGCGTCGAACGATGGCAGGCACAGCATGGACAGATGACAAGGGGAAACGAGGCGCAACAGGTCTTCTCGTGGATTTCGTTCTTCGTGATGAGATGAGATTTTGTGCCTCTTGTTACCTGCCCCCGGAATGTATGGGCCAGATCCCCAGAACACGAGGGTCTGGCTGAGAATGATGATGGTAAACTCACTTTTGGGGGTACCACACTGGGGCGTCAACTTATCGTTGTCTTCGTCGTTCTTGAGGGCAGACCGCAGGGGCTGGCTGCTGGCACTCGCAGTGACGTTGGGGAGGGGTGAATCAGACATGGTGATCACACGAGCGTCGCGCGCGAAGGCGATGAGAGAGGAGAGAGAGAGAGAGAGAGCCTGGAGGGGGTTGGTGGAACAAGAAGTGGAATGCTCGACTCTGCGAAGTCAAGCCGCTGCTCGCTTGTGCTCCGTCTTCAGAGGGCCTCTCGAATCGTTGCAGGGTGGTTGGGAGGCGATGGTCTCACAACAGGTGGATGCTGCCAATGCAAAGCAATGATCTCAACCGGCGTGCATCGGAAAAGGAGGATGAGGAGGGAGAGAGGCGGAGGGAGTGGCGGAGGGGAAAGCGGTGTCTCGTGTCTCGTGAGAAGTGGTTCGTGTTCTTTGAGGAGGAGTTGCTGTTTGGGAAATTGTCGTGTGGAAACTTGGACTTGACGTTCCCCCCGCCAATCTTGGCATCGCACCGCCTCGGCCGAGCCGCCTAGCCACATCTGTACTGGCTGGGACACAGGCAGCAAGGTGCCAAACGCTCACCGCTCAGTGCAGCCACCACCTACCTAGGGGCCTATCTGGGAGGCCTAGGTACTAACTTCTTACTTCCTGAGGCCCTTATCTTCCTGCACCTTAGGGATCCTGGGGACCCTGGTGGCCTGTGACAGCCAACAGTCTGTGTGGCTGACCACCTCGGTTACCCTGAGGTGGGTTCAGTTAGTAGGGAGGTAGGCACGCTTGGCAGGTAGGTACTGTAGGTAGGTACTTGGGTACAGGTACCTACCTGAACCCACCACGAAGGCAACTACCCCACAAGAACCCTGACTTGCCCCCGCTGTCAGGTGCGTCACTCTCCAACTGCAACTGCCAGGGATCAGGCCCTAGACGCACCTGGGACGACCCCTCAAAGATGCTGGCGACGAGCTTCCCCAAGGCGAGCCTACTTGGACGTGTGTTGAACCAGGTGGTCCAGGACAAAGTTCATCTCAGATCATGTCCTTGTGTCTTCATGCTCACTGATCACCGCTGCTGACAGTTCCATCTAGACTCGTTCCGACAGATTTCCTGACATTGTAGCAAATAAGCCAATCGAGCGACGTTGCCGTCCAAATCACATGCGAGCGAGGAAAAGACTGGCGCGATCGTCAATACCAGTCGCCACTTGGACAACGTGTTCGTGGCGCTCGGGAGGCTGCAGCTGGCTGCGCTAAAGGATGGGTGGTGATTTGGCTTGGTGACATATGATGCCATCCTACCAAGTATGCTGGTCTCGTCTTGGTGCCAGCCAACCTCAGCCCTGCCAGGCAGCTCGACGGTGCTTTCGTGGCGTACAACTCAAGCCGCTTCTAACCGTTGTATGCCAGCTCGTCCTACTCTACAGTACAATGGCATCACACAATGGCCTGTTCAGGAGACACTCTTGCCATTGACCCGAACTACCTACTGACCACGAGGTGCTGTGGCTTGGACGGGCAGACATCTCGATACCTCGATCTGTCTGCTATGGAAAAATAAGATGGAAAAATAAAATGGAAAAAATATAGGCTTCAAGATGACTCGGTCCGCGAATCGCACACTTCCAAATACATTTCTACTATGCTGGTCTACAAATCCATGTCTACTTCTCAGCACAATGCTCCCATGCTGCCGTCAATGATGTACTGCTCCCTCGCCAGCGCCCACGCCACGGCCGCCTTGACATCGTCCACAATGGCCGTCGGCGGGTACGCGCTCTCGCCGCGGTCGGCCTGCCAGACGCCGGTGCGCACGAGCACCGACTCCCAGTTGGTGCCCTGCTTGCTGCGGTACTCGTTGGCGCCGCGAATGTCGCTCTCGGGGTTGTCGCCGACCATGTACACGGTCCGCAGCGGCGTCGACGCCTCGGCCTGGCGCCCCTGCCGCGCCAGCAGCGCGGCGCGGTGCTCGTTGAGCACGCGCTCGGCGTAGCGGTACGTCTCGGGCGACGGCTTGCCAAAGGCCGTGCGCCGCAGGGGCGTGCCGCCGGTGACCTTGGCCCACACGGCGGCCACGGCCTCCTGGAAGGCGCCCTGGCCGAGGCGCGGCTGGAGGTAGCCCGTCGACCACAGCAGGTCCGAGTTGGACAGGATGAGCGGCGGCTGGCCGTCCTGCTGCCAGCCGGCGTTGGGCAGCGACGCGTCGCCGTTGCGGTCCGAGTAGGTGCCGAGGATGCCGCGGCGCGACAGCAGCAGGTCGAGGATGAGCTGCACGTCGAGCGCCCAGTCGCGCGGGTCGTTGAAGACGAACATGGCGTCGATCGTCAGCGCGTCGGCGTCGGCGACGCCCGGCCCGTGCAGCGGCCGGGGCAGCGGCCGCGCCGTCGCCCGGTACACCTCCTCCATGAGCGGCTCAAAGGGCCAGATCTCCGGGTGCGCCGTCAGAATGTCGGCCGGCGTGACGACGCTGCGGAAGCCGTACTGCTCGGCAATCTCGCGGCACTTTTGCGCGTTCGAGCCCGTCACGAAGACCGTCTTGTCGCTGAGGCTGTCGGGCCCCGCGCGCACAAGCTCCTGGAACGGCGTGTGCGACTGCACAAAGTTGTCGACCGTCAGCTGCACGCCGAGCTTGTCGCTGAGGTCCCGCACCCGGTCGTGCTCGTGCTTGCCGCCGCCGTTGGTCAGCAGGATGAACGGGATATTGTTGTCCTGGAGGTACTCGAGCGCTTCGCGGGCGCCCGGGATGGGCTTGGCGACGTGGAGCAGCACGCCGTCGATGCTGCCGTCAGTCAGTCGATCATCTCAAAAAAAGACGTCCTCAAATCATCGTCGAGGTGAGCGGGGGGCGGGGTTCACCCACTCAAAGGCAAAGGCAAAGGATGGCGGCACAGCTGTGGTGCTGCTGGCCTGAGCACTCAGCCATCGAGGTCGCAACGCTGCGACTGGCTGTTGTGAGCGGCTGAGAGATGGCAAGCCTGAAGACGACCCGTTGACGTCTCGGTGACGGCGAAAGGCAGCGTTGGATGCCCACCTTGATTGGGTTCGTAGTAAGCTCTGTGTCACCAAGGCAGCAGTGGATGCTGCTGGCACTCGCAGCCTCGACGTCGCTGGCACTCGCAGCCTCGACGTCGCTCGCACTGACGCCCCGCCGAGGGCGCAGATGGAGGCCTTCATCGCAGGTTCGGGGCTTCTAATTGTTAGAGGAGCGGTGGATGGTGGTGATGATGATGGAGAGCTGCAGCATGGGCGAGCTCAACTGAAGTCAGGTAGGTAGGCTTGGGTAGGTAGCTGATCAGAGGCCGAGCACCAGGGGCCCCACTCGCTTGTGCTTTCGCCCAGCGACCGAGACCTGGAGCTCGACGTTTCGAGCCTCATGCCGCATCCTGTCACTCGAAACCACGCGATGCAAGACAAGGTGTCGGGCCCGATTTGATCATCCTTTTACATTCTATTTTAGGTTCGGCCTTCCACTCCCCCCTGGCCGTATTGTACAAGCGACGGAGCGGGGTTTCGGGACATATGCCCTGTCTCTGATCGCTGATCGCTCATCCTCCAGTGTCCTGATGTTCTGCCAATGGCGATTCGCCTACTGATACATGTAATGCAGCTCATACTCGTACAGCTTGACCTAATGTACCCATGCACTATTGAGAATGCGTTCACCTACCCGTCTAATTCTTCTTCCACGCGCCGGACCAGTCATTCATATGGTCGAGCATCAGCTTTGCGCCAGCAGACGGCGAGTGCTGTCGTCCCAGCGCCTCGACAAAGTCACCCTCGGGATCCATCAGGTAGAAGTAGATGCTGTGGTCGACGAGGTAGTCCTGGCCCGCTTTGACGTGCTGCGGCGTGCTAAAGTACACCCTGTACTTCTTGCACATGGCCTTGATCTCGTCGTACGTGCCCGTCAGCCCGATGAACTTGGGGTGGAACTCGGCCAGGTATTCCTTGAGGACCGGCGGCGTATCGCGTGCCGGATCACACGTGACAAAGATGGGAAGAATCGATCCCGGTCGCTTCTCCTCCACGAGGTCGAGCATGCGCGCCATCTTGTCGAGCTCGTCGGGGCAGATGTCGGGACAGTGGGAGAAGCCAAAGTACACCTAGGGTCACAGCAGGTTAGCCGCTGCATATCCAAACTGCCCAGAGCGCCATTCCTCTTATCGCCCTACGTACCAGTGCATACCGTCCCTTCATGTCCTCGCTCGTGAACGCGTTGCCGTTCTGGTCGATCAGCTCGAAAGGCCCGCCGACCTTGGGCTTGCCCACGCCCTTGGTGGCATCGGCAATACGCTTCCGCTGCATGCGCTCCTTCTCAAACTCAAAGTACCACATGAGGCCGCCGGCCGTGGCGACGAACAGGACACCGGCCTTCCAGGAAAAGGGCTGTTCACATTGGTTAGCCGGAGACCGTCCTCTGCCGACTGGGCGCTGAGCCGAGCCGTATTCTTTGGAAACAACCCACCCCTGATCGGTACCGACTCTTCTGCTCTGCGATGGACTTGTACACCTTGGTCCTCTTCTGCATCGCGAATTGGTTTCGCGCGGCCTGGAGAGGGCTTGGCGCAGTCGCTGGTCGGATGTGCTTCGCTGCTGCCGCCTGCGAGAGGCATCGTCGGCACTGCTGGGCGGATGCGCCGAGGACGCTCCTCAAGAGCGTCCTTGCTGGTGCCAAGGCGTTTGACATGTTGGCTCGTGGGCGAATAATCAGTGGCGAAGATGATGTTACCTGGGAATCAATCCGGGGTCGAGTCCATGTCCATCATCGTAAGATGCCGAAGCGGCCACTGGAGGTCGGGTGGCCCGGGCGTCGGGATGCCAAAAAAACATGCTCGATAAGCCTCACACCCCGATATTCATCCGGTATCTCGGTGAAGCATGCCGACCTGGGTTCACCGAGTCATCAACTCACCACCCCAACTCACCACCCCAACTCACCACTCCAGATGCTCTCATCAAATTGGCAAGAGTTGAGGGTGATCTTGATCGTGATTTCGTACACAACTCACCAAATTATCAACGGGATTATCTCGGGAACCACGCCTGCCGGCATCAACCTGAACAGAAACTGCTCGCTCCCTTCCCATACCCATTCCCTCGTCGCATCAGGCAACCAAGGGTGCCATCGTGATGGATCACGCTGGCGATCAACCAGCCGGCAAGTCACCCTCTTCGGTGCCCACCAGTAGGCAACAGGAGGATCACGACATGCCAGATGCACAACCAGCACCAGCAGCGTCATCTCCCCACGAGAGGAGTGTCCCTCCATCCTCCAACACAGTCCTCCCCTCCACGGAAAAGCCACCACCTGCGCCGACAAAGAAGCGCGGCCAGGCCGCAGTCAAGAAGCCCACCAAGCGCAGCAAAGGCAACGCCGGCCCCCGCGCCGGCAAGAAACAAACGGCACCCAAAGCATCGAGTGGCGATCGAGACGACCATGACGACTCGGCCGCGCAGCTGGAGGAGCGCGGCGCTGCCAGCCCGTCCCCTGACGACGACGACTCCATCGACCCGGGCCCCTACTGTCTGTGCCGCGGCCCGGACGACCACAGATTTATGATCTTCTGTGACATTTGCCAGGACTGGTTCCACGGAGAGTGCGTTGACATGGACAGGGACGTCGGTAACAACCTCGTCGAGCGCTTCGTCTGCCCCAACTGCACGGACCTGGCCAGCAACGTGCGCACCCTCTACAAGAAGACGTGCTCCCTCAAGAACTGCACCCAGGAGGCGCGTCTCTATGGCGACCGGGAGACCAAGGAGGAGGTCAAGCTCGAGGACAAGAGCGTCTTCTGCTCCGACGAGCACCGCCAGCTGTGGTGGGAGAAGTACGTCGCCGCCATGCCCAAGAAGGACGGATCCGGCGCCAAGACGCTGTATGGCGACATTACACAGGCGCAGATTATGGCGCTTCTCGGCGATGCTGTGAGCAAGGCCGACAAGACGAACAACTGGAAACTCGCGGCGCGGCCCTTTGCGCCTGAGGACGGAGGTGAGGAAGCCTTTTCTTCTTCTTGTTATTTCCTTCCTTCACGCAGCGACATGAGTGGTCGCAGACGGGGCATCACTGACTTTTCGACAGACAATGGGTCGGACCCCAAAAAGGTCCTGCCACCGGGCACGCTCACCGAGGAGGAGGAGCTGAAGCTGAAGCAGTACGCCGCCGAGCGCTACCAGATGGGCGAGGACACGGTCGCCTACAGCCGCATGCTCGAGCTCATGGACATGGCGGGCCGGCGCCGCGCGGCCCTCGTCGCGGCCAAGAAGATGGACGACTCGGTCTGCGGCTACGACTACCGGCTCGACACCATCGGCGTGCGCCAGCCCTTTGCCGCCTTCATGGCGACAAAGGAAGCCCAGGAGATCTTCAAGCAGGGCAGCCTCGAGCACGGCAGCGTCATGGCCGGCGCCGACCGCAACTTTTGCGACAAGAAGCGTTGCAAGCCCCACCACGGCTGGTACCAGATTCACACTAAGGACGTGAGGTATCTGATGCGCTGTCTGACCTCCGAAGCCAACAAGAAGCTCAACCTCGAGGCCGAGATCCGGGACGCTGCTGTGCAGAGGAGGCTGAGGAAGGAGCGCGAGGGGAATGGCGTCGAGTATCACGGGCAGTACGCGGTGCAGCTTGGAGAACAGAACAAATCCGTGGCGGCCGATGGACCTCTTGAGACGGCCAGCACCTAACTGTCTGGCACAATCAAATGGTGACAGAGGCTCGATCGGATGAGTTGCAGTGGGTTGGTGGTGCTGGAAGGATACTCTGGAGCCTCGGCGTTGCTAGGTAGAAGTCACCACAACGGTGACGGTATGAATGAATGAGTAAAAAGGGTCGTCGGTTCTGCTCCGACATTGTCAGCTTTTTTTTGCACAATAATGAGCATTTAGTCTCAGTCTACGACATCCAAATGGAAGTGAACTGGCTTCTCATCTGGAAAGTGATTGATTTCTTTGGCACGACGGTACTTAACGTCCTGTGCCCTGCCAGGCCTGCCTGACCGTTTTGATTCTCATAAAGGCTGATCTAGGAATGCATCTATCTCTATGCGTCAAGTTTAAGGCGTTCTAGCATGATGTCGATCTTCCCAAGCAGGATCTGGTAGTTGATCGCATCCGAGGCAAACTCGTCTTCGGCCACTGCGCCATCGAGCGTCATGACGCCGCCTGTTTCTTCGGTTGCTTCTTCCTTCCCTACAGGTTCTGCTGGCTTGACATCTCTCAGGTCGATCTCTTGCAGAGCCAAGCCGTCCTCGGCCTTTTGCTGCACCTCCTGGCTGCTCTCCGCCAGCGACGCAGCCGCAGCAGCATTGATCTCGCCTTGCTCGTCCATCATCTCGTCAAGGCCCGCATCCTCGAACCGCAGCCGGAAGCGCTCCGACAGATAGTAGCGGATATCGTCTAGTAACTCAATCGTATCCGTCTCTTCGCGGTTCTTCAGCCGCTCGGCACTCTCCTTGATGAGGTCGGCGAATTCGGCTTCGTCGATGTAGTCTTCCAGCCGGTACGCCAGGTAGCGAGCGGCGAACTCCTCGAGCCGCTGCACCCTCAGGTCCCACGCGGCATGTATGACGTCGTAGATGTTGATGGGTTCCGTGTCTTCCTCTTCGGCTGTGCCATGTGTGCGGTCGACGAGAACATTGCTGTTGCCGCTGCCTAATGTGCTGATGACCTGTGCCGCTTTGGTCTTGAGCTTGTCGAGATAGAGCATGTCGGATACGTAGAGAAGATCCAGGGCAAGTTCGAGCGGGCATTCGGCCTTTTCGGTGTAGAGAAAAGTAAGGATGATCTCGAGGACTTCAGGCACACAGTCAATCGTAATCATGTGCAGGTGCTGCTCCTCCTGAGCCTCCTTGAACTCGCCCGAGAACATGGTCTCGAAATAGAGGCTGCGCAGCAGCATGGCCTTGTGTACCGGGTAGACGACGGACCGCCTAGTCTTTTTCGGCTTGGAGGTGGCGAAGGGGCCGATTGGGATGCTGCTATTGTTCACCGCGGCGTCCGTGTCGGCGGGCTCATTCTCGGGTGTCTGCTCTTCGTCGGGTTCGTCGGCGCGCAACAGGCAATCCGCAAAAATGGCATTGTCATGCCGCCACTTGATCTCATTGACCCTCTCTGTGTCGATGACCATTCTATGCGGGAGGACGTTTTCCCGGTAAAAACTGTCAATCTGTTTCTGCGCCCGGTTGACCTCGTCCTGGTACCGCTGGCGGGCCAGTCGACGATCGGTTGTCAGCAGCGCCTCCCAGAGTTTCTCAATCTCAAGCTGCTTGCTGATCTTATCAGCGCTCGTGAGAACCTCCTCCTCGGTCGCCATGCTACGTGGGTCGACGAGATCTTTCGGAATATCGCCGAGGTAGAGATAGCGCAGCACGAGGCGAAAGGCATCAGCGGGGATGGTCGCTGGTAGGTTCCAGGTCCTCGTCCCTGCGGCGTCCGACAATTTTCTCTTGAAATAAGGCGATCTGGAAGCGAGTATGAACTTGTGTAGCTGAAAAGACTCGGAGGCGGCGATGAGGCCAATGTCGGCTGTCTTGGGCACATCTTTGGAGAGGAGAGACGTGATGTGAGATGCCCAGGGCTGGAGGGGGTCTGTGGATTTTGAATAGTCATACTCGAGCAGCAGGTTGCGGATTCGATTATTCAGGGCATTATAAATGCATCGCTCGCCTTGGAAAGTATTTCGCTCCGCCAGTGCACCTCGACACCGACATTAGCAAGCCCGCCAACCACCATGGCGTGGGAGTTTGCTCACCAGACTCGAGAAGAAGCCGGACCAAGTCAAAATGACCACATAAGCTCGCCTTACGACGTGATCAGCATCAGAGCTCCGGATCACGAGCTCCACCCTCGACGGATGTTGCATAAACTCACGACGATGAGGGGGGTGTAGTCGAAGCTATCTTTACCGTTGATGTTAACACCGGCGGAAATCAGCTCTTGGCACCTCTTGAGGTCGCCTCGGCGGCATGCTTGGAGAAAGTCGTGAAAGCCCTCGGACAGGTCTAGCGGATTTTCTTCCCGAAGGACGCCGGTTTTGATGAGGACATGCTCGTCCCTCAGCTGGGCCTCCAGTTGCCCTTTGTGTAGGACCATGCTTGAGACTGGGCCGATGGCAGAATAGGAAGAGGAGTAGACTGGAGAAAATGCGACGATCCAAAGCAAAACAGCTACACGTTCTGAGGCTATATCTGATCTGCTCTCCACAAAGTCATGTACCA